CCAAATGATAAAAGATAACTATAGCACAATGTGACCAATATGTCTAAAAGTTCCCTCTGATTTAAAAGTAATTGTTTTGTGTGTTCTGTGTGTTTCTCATTGGTTCATCCGTCTGTCAATTTTTTAATAAGTAGTTAAGGTACCTGCAGCTGCTTCATTGTAGATTTTTTAAATGCTCATGTTAATTTCTTTTTTCCCTTGTACTTTTGAGGTTCTTTTGAGACTCTCCCCCAACAACTTCAGGGAAGCCAAATCTACTTAAAAAATTGGAGGGAAGAAAAAGTGGCAGGCTACAGACTTTCATGAGGCTTACACGTGAAAATAGTAGGCTGAATAACATAAAGATTATGTTTGACTTCTGTGTGTTAACTTCCAGGCATATATTTTCCAAAAGTTCTACATAAATTGGCATACAGATAAATAGGCACCCATGATTTAGTCCAAATGCTTATTGTTTATGTGGCTTAACAACTGGCTAATTAAATTCACTGGTAAGAGTAAAGATGTCTTTAAAGATGACAACATATTTCTACACATGTTGTTAGCCAACCAAGGTAATATTTAAAAAAGTTTTTTTTTTTTTAAATGCAGTGTCTAGTGTCTGTGTACAATACTTTAATAAGAGCTTTCCTTGGCTAAAGATAACGTGTATACTTTAAAAGTATTGATTGTTATATTTTGGTCTCATGCATTATCTAAAAGAATTGTTAAGATAAATAACTGGGAGCCCCTTGGTCTTGTGGAACCACTGGACACAACTCCCCTCTGTAGCTTAAAGAGCAGCTGCTTGAATTGATTTGTTCAGGTTTCTCTACTGATGGGCGACTTCTCTGGTTATTCTAAGGGTGGTACGCCCCTACAAATGTTAATAAATAACTGTAATATATTTAAGTTGGTTACAATCAAAAGGTTAAGCTTTCTATGTCTGAAACAATAAGGTGTTCTTAAGTTATTAGCATGTTCTCGCATGTACTCATGGTACCCAATAACTGTCCCATTGGGTGACTTTTATGACTGGTACTTCAGTTACTTAACATCAGACAATGGAATTCAAATTAGAGGGAGGTACCCAGGTCTCTCTGTCTCTCTGTCTCTCTCTCTCTCTCTCTCTCTCTCTCTCTCTCTCACACACACACACACACACGCACACGCACACGCACACGCACACACACACACACACACACACATCTTAGAGCCCTATCATGAATGTGTTAAAATGTTCTTTGCTGAACTTACAAAACGTTAAAAAGCAAAGGTTCTGTATTTTATTCATTTCTTGTGTTTTCTGTTAATAAGCTTTTGGTTAGTAAAGACTGAATTTATTTAAATGTTGTTTTGTAAAATGTTTCCCATAATCAGTTTACAATTGGTTGAATGAAAAACTATTATCTTAGCTTATGAGATAACTATTTGGAAAAATATACAAAAAGAAGAGTTTAAGCTTTAAAGTTAAGCTTCTAGAATTGAATATGTAATTTTAATGTGTACAAAGTAGCTAACAGACACTCTGTTTTAACACACTATACATCTATATATTACACGTAAAATGATCAGAATTTTTGGCTTCTCTTTAAATTTGCTTCTGACATCAAAATTTGATCTCCCACTTCAGAGTCTTTTGGCTAAGATCAAGTATAAAACTTGATCTGTGACTACTGACTTTAATTCTAGTAGCTTATAAAGAAGATATACTTGTATATTGGGTTATAAATCCATTTGTGATCAATAACACTTTAAATTTGTAAAAGACGTCCTTTAATTTTTGTCAGTGCAATTACACCCTGTAACCCTGTTAAAGGAGTCTCTCATTTTGCCTTAAGAGTAAGAGTTAAGTATATGCAGATATTTCTATGTAGCTGTGCTACTAGTTATTGATAACTTTATGGAATATACACTTAATATACATTTGTGTTTTCTAGACGTACAGGCTTTCAAGCATGCAAAACTTTGGAAAACATCTCCTCGTACTGATTACCTCCACATAAAGTTGTTTTTGGTAGTGAAATTTTCAGACTTATGCTTGTGTGATTGTTATGTAATGATTATAGTCAAATATGTTATTATAGTTAAAAAAAAAAACTATGAAACCCAGAAAATGTCACTCTTCAGATTAAAGACTGAGTATCTATTTACAAGTATATTCTGCTTAAATGGTATGCTATTAAAAGGTAATAGATTTAGGTAAAAGTTTCTTTATGTCATGTAACTTTGGGGGGTGGCTATTTTTTTGAACTAGGGTCTTGCTATGTGTTCCAGGCCAGCCTCTAATTGAGTATGTAGCCCAAACTGGCCTCTAACTCATGGCAATTCTCCTGCCTCAGCTTTCAAGTGCTGGGATTACAAGCATGTGCCACCAAGCCTGGCATATGTCATTTAATATTTTGTAATGAGAGGAAGGCAAATAACTAAAAAGTTATTTCATACTAAAATTGGAATTAAATGTACTTTTAGAGATTAAAAAATTGATCCTTTCAAATGCAGAGAGCCAGCTGCGATAACTGACCATTAAACAACTGAGCAATTCCCATACTTATCCATAAAACTGTCTGGACCAAGGGGCCACATGGAAATTCCACTTTTCAGATTCTCCTCCTGGAGAAATCAGGAGCCTTTTTTCTCCTTCCCCTTATTTCTAATAAAAACTCTCCCAACTTTCTCCTTTGTCACTGTGAGAAACCTGAGCTCAGTTTGCAAAGAATCCAGTGTTTCACTACTTGAAAGTGAAGCCTGTAAAGTCTGTTTGTGAAACGCTTCCGGGGTCAGCAGCGCACGGACAGTTTCCAGTCCCTCTGACTCTGTCACTGCATGACCAGTGAGACCTGAGGAGAAGTTTCCGAGGACACTGGGCCTCCCTGGACAGAGAGGCAAAGCTCCATCTAGGGAGGCTGCTGCATGCGGAGGACCAATTGTGGGTAAGCACAGGCAGCTACCAGCAACTGGTACTTTCACCTTTTCTGTTAGAACATTTTCATAACAAGTTGCGGAGGAAGCCTTGAGTTTTGCTCTCGTTCTTCTTCCTTTCCCTCTCTTGCCCGGTGTAGCCTAATCATTTAGTTGGCTATGTCGTTCTTGGCTGGCCCCTACTTTCCCTCCACAGTAAAGACATTACGTCACTGTCTTCTGACCTCCATCGCTGCAGCTGGGGAGTTTCTTAGGACTCTGTTGTCTTTCTGTGGGGGATCTGAATGTTTCTGATTGATTTAAAATTGCTTTGTGTTTAGCGTAAAGTTTATTTTTTCATTTTTAGGCTGTGCGTCTGCATCTTTTATGTCTTTGAATTTATTGTCTTATAAATCTAAGGATTCATTTATCAGTTTTGAAAAATATTCAGTCACTATCACTTCTAATGTTATCTTCTGCTTAACTTCTTCCATAAATTTTTAAGGAATTATTACTAAACTTAAATTTTCTCTTCTGTTTCTAATATCTCCTTGTGTCAACATTTAATTAATGTCATCTATTTATTTTTCTCTGAATAATTTTCTCAATATTATTTTCCACTTAATATTTTCTCCCTTATTTCTAGAAAATCCATTTCATTCTTTTTAATATATGCTTTAATATATATTGTCCAATTGGAAAACTGTTATAAGGAAAATAATTACATGTATTGCTCCATGTTTTCTTCCTCTCTCTCTCTCTCTCTCTCTCTTTCTCTCTCTCTCTCTCTCTCTCTTTGGTACTGGGGATTGACTTCATGACCTCATGCTTGCCAGGCAGGTGATTATGCCACTGAGCTAAGTCCGCAGCATGTCCTCTTTTTTTTCCCCCTGGAATTGTGGTTTAGCAGCCACTTATAACTGTAAAGCACATTAAGTAAAGCAAAATAAAAAGATAGATATATTCTTGAACACTGATGAGCTCATGGTAGTTTACACTAACTTTATATATCTAAACTCTGTAAAAATAGCTCTGGATTGTTTGAGTCTGTTACCTACAAGAAATTAAATTGCAGCTAATGAAACAATGCTGAAAATATTTGTTATATTTTCACATAATGGTCTTATAAGTGACTGCTACCAAAATGTAAAGAGTGCTTATTTCTGAGTGGTGAATTTGCAAATCATCTTTATTTTTTCTTATTATTTTCCTATATCATCATTATTAGCCTTAGTTGATGAAACTATCTTCTGTTATTGGTAATGATAATAGCTACAGTTTATTGATGCATTTCTATTGTGCCAGATACTGGGGAAGAGGCTTCAGTATATTAATTACCTCATTATCATCTCCCTCACTGATTTACTATGTCTGCAGATGAAAATGCATATTCACTTTAACTAATAGAAGTACAAATTAAGAAAATTAGAAAACATGTCATTTAGATCTGAAATCTCTCTCAAAGTCCCATGTGTTCAGAGATGGGGCTTTTGAAAGGTGATTGGATCATAAGGTGTCAGTGAATTAATTAACTGATGAGTTAATAGCTGAATGTGTTGATAGGAGGTGAGGACAGGCGGGAGGGTGAGTACCAGGGCACAGCCTACAAGGGTAGAGCCTTGTCTTTGACCCTTTGCTTTCTCTCTCTGTTTGCTGGCTGCCGCACCATCAGCAGCTTCCTTTTGCCGTGACCCTTCATGTTTCTGCCTTGGAGCCAGCTGACCATGGCTTGAACCGCTGAAACCATGAGCCAAAATAACCCTTTCTCCTTTAAGTCATGGGTGTTGAGTATTTTGAGCCAGTAAGGGGAAAGGGACTAATCTAATCACATATTACTTCACTATCTAGGTACTTAGCTTATTTTAAATTACATTATTTAAAGAAAAAAAGCAAACCAGAAAAAGGGATAGAAATAATACAGAATTTCAAAAAATTAATGCTAAGGAATCACTAGCTGATAAATTGTATACTGTCATCTTAGAAATAGTTGTTCAAGTTACAAAATTAAAGCATAAAAAGTGGATAATCAAACAATGAGAGTGCAAACCGTTCAAAGATCCAACAAAAACTTAATATCAAAATCTTAAAGAGTGTTAATTTTTTTCTTTTTTTCAAAATACCTGAAGGTAGTTTCTGGGCCGGTTTCTGTTTTAATGGTAATTTAGGATTCCACGAGGCATCTACTTTTCTTCCAAATGCAATGGATTGAATGATATGAGCCTTTTTGTGGTTAAAAATGGTAATCATTGATCTTCGTTCCTTTTCTGTAACTTCTGATAAATGCAAAAATATTAGTAGTGCATAGCACAGAGATTCAAAACAGAATTGAAGGCTTTAAAACATGTATTTAAATAAACTAGGTTAGGTCAGTATCCTGTCACTCTAGATTTCTAGAGCATTCTCACAGTTATTTCTATAATCTTACAGGACCTCATTACACACTCCTTGCATTATAAAGCTGAGCTCAGTCTTGCATCATGGACACTTTCTAATGCATCACAGAGATGAGTGACATCCCAATGTGACATATCCCTGGATTTCCTGAGGGCCACTGAGAAGAAGAGATATTGCCACAAGGCTTTGATGTACATCACAGAAAAAGTAGCTCAGTAATAACATGATGCAGATGTTGCTCAGTGGCAGAGGACCTGCTTAGCATGAGTGAGGCCTGTGTTCAATAGCCAGTATCACCGAACAAACAAAAGAAGCAGAATGTTAAAATTTGGAGATAAAATAAGTCTTAAAAATGCACAATGTAATGCACTGACATTGATTGTATACATGGGACTTATTTAAACTAAACATGCTAACTTATCTCTACTGTATGAAAATAAATTATAAAAAGTTATCACTAATTAGCTCAATTCAAATAATAAAAACTTACATAATTTCAAAGAGAATAAATTAGAATATACATAGGCTTTAAGAGACTTAGTCCTTCGTTTTTGAGATAAGAAACTAAGGTTCCAGAGGCTTAATGACTTGGCACCTGATTTGTTAATGTCAAAGCAGGACCAGACGGAAAGCTTTCCTCACACCCAGCTACATGGCCTTTCTAGTACACTAGGATGAAAACATGCATTGCTAAACTAGATCACATTTCAGAAAGCAAATATCTAAAAAATAAATAGTTCAAAACCTTCCATTTCAGAGACAATTATTTAACAGTATTCATTTACAAAAACAGATTTTTAATGGCACTCCGTATTTTTAAACTAAGAAGTTGTAAGACTGCTTTCCCAGTATTTTTCTGCAATAAAAGGTTGTGCTTACGATTTCTGTCCAGTAGTTCTACTCCTGGAAGGTGGTAGATTATATACAAACGGTACAAGTTATATTGGCACAAAGGGTTTTGGCATAGACCTGCAAAGGAAGAATTCAAAAGGAGATGTCAAATTTCAAAGTTAACTTTATTTATTACTTGATAAAGTAGGAGAGATAGAAGAATTCATGCACAACACAGCCATGGAAAATTCCACCTCACATCAAGCCAATGGCTCCAGTAAACCCATATTGTTGAGAGCAGCATTTAATTTTTTTATCTGCTAGATTCATTCATTCAACAAACATTTACTAAGTATCACAACTATCTCCTAAAAACTATGCTAGATGCTAGGTACATATCATTAACTCAAATCCGCCACAAATGAGGAAAATGTTAAACTTCCATAGCAAGGGGAATGTTGAGGCTGCTTTTGATTACAGTATCCTGAGGGACTTTTCGTCCAATCTCAAAGGTCTCTGGGTGCTTGGTTGGGTGCAGAGTTACAATACACTGTCCCAGCAGAACTTTATCCCTCCACGCATAACTCAACACATGCACATGCTAGTAGCAGCTTCAGATGTGCGTGAAGCAGAGCTCAGCAGATATGGATGCTGCGTGTTGTCCATTTCTGACCAGACACCCACAGCTTTAAGATCCTGGAGTGCGGGGGCGGGGTGGGATACCTAAGGGACTTGACTCTCTATGGGGTGACTGGAGGAAGCTGGCATACGTGGGGTGCAGGGAGCTCCTGCCATCACAGCCATAAGGAAGCAGCACGGAGGATTATGTTGTTTCAATTCACAACTGACGTCCTGAGGGTCTTACTTTCAAGTAAAGTCTTTTACTTATTAATCCTTAGATAATAGTACACAGGATTAGGGCAACAGTAGGAAATAAAACTTTTATTATATCGTTTGGGCATCTTTAGCTACTTGAATTCTGCTTCTATGCAATTTCTAGAAAGTATTTCCACAAAATACACACAGTGAGAAGATCCACTAGATGGCAGTAGCTGAAAGAGCTCCAGCTACTGCGCAGCTACATCCTCAACAAAACGAGGCTTGCGTGCTGTACATGCTAGAGTTAAGAGCACCGAACAGTATCGACGACTCACAACATGCAGCAAAGTTTCATCAAGGCATGATGTTGTAAAGCATTAGAAATTTAGGGGAAAAAACAGATCAATATTGTCATGCAAGTTTGCACCATGAAGTGTGGGAGAGGCATGCTTGCTTAAATGACCACAAACTAGTTAAAAACTGAAAACAAATCAATAATCCGGATTTTTTTCTATAGGTAATAGAGCATTCTGATTTCTTCTATAAATTTTTTTCTGGCTAATAAAATCCTCATATATAAGTATTCCCTGTAGAAAGCATGAGTGTTAAAAGGACATAAAGCAGGCGATGGAAGACACCTGGATTATAACAAATGAAAGTTATGAGTGAGGGAAGGAATAAAAAACACGTAGAGCCAGGAGCAACAAAACATTAAAGGGAAACACATATGTTTTGGGGGAAGGGGGGGAAAAATGGAATAGAAATGTTTCAGGATTTCTTAGGCAACAAAAATGGTTTGGATTTTATTCTTACAAGAGATGGAATTGAAACTGGAAACAAATAATTATAACTACAGGATAGGGAATAGAACGGATGTATATGAAAGCAGGAATAAGGACAGATTTAAAAGATCCACAGGGATCTTGCATTGTAGTTCGAGCCAGGAAAGTAAAAGGCATCCTTGAAGGATATAAAAGCAAAACACAATTGCTTTTAATGAGAATTTAGGAGGGAGACAAAGTCCGAAATGTTTGAGTGCAGAAGGCTGCTCTGTGGTTACTGTCTTGGGGAATCACATCTGACACCTCGTTTCCCCTGTGTCACATTATACCAACTGGAAGTCGAGTGTGCCTTTGCACAGGATGCTGACGGGAAACGCACCCACATCTTGCAATGGTGGTTACTCTTGGCGGCTCATTTACCCTGTCTTTCCCTCCCAGAACTTTACTGTTTCACTTCTTTTCTTGGCTATATCTTTTGAATTCCTAGCTGAGTAATTTCTTATGTAAAATTAAAGCCCTACCTTTGGTTAAACAGAGCACCAAACTTAGATTTACATTACATGACTTATTACCAAGGAGCCACCATACTGAAAACTCTAGGTACTTGTTGTGGGTCTTCATTTATCTTGTCTTAGTGTAAAATCTGAGTGACAGAAAGCCAGGAAACTGAGCCACAATCCAGCCTCTGCTTACTTGAGCTTAAAAAAAAAAAGAACTAAATAATTTGAAAGGCATTTTATCTTTATTATCTTTCATTTTTCCCCCCTAGCTCTTAAATTTTAGAAGGAAGCAGTCTTTTTCTCTACCCTCCCCTCCCTTATGTACTGTAAACATTTAACATTTTGGATTTATGAGTTTTGGATGGATGCTACTAAAATTACCATAAATTAAGTTTCTAAGATATGAAATCAGTTTCCTGTCTCTGAATGTTCTGAAAGCCTCCTGTGATGTATGGGCACATTCCTTTGCAAACTACGAAGCAAAATTGCTTACACTTTCACTTTCAATAGGTTAATACTATTTAATCCACCTTCCCTCTAGGCTACTTATAGAGTACACCTCAGTGGCGCCAGCACTGTCTTGCTTATCTTAATTTGGGATTCAGAGTCTAAGCAATTTACATTTACCCAATAATATATCAAAATGTCTCTACCGCCTTACCACACAAGCTTGAACCACATGAGTCACATGTATGAAGCTACTTCTTAAATAATACAGAGGAGAAAGAAAGAAAAGAAAAAAAGAAAGAAAGAAAAGAAAGAAGTAAAGAAGGAAGAGAGAAAGGAAGGATATAGTCTTTAAATAATTGGCTCCAGTTAATTTTTGAAACTTTTAAAGTTGGGTTTAAAAATCATTATTTAAATGGACCCAAATGTTCTAAAGGCATCGTCAAAGAAAGTGGATGTAATTAGTAAGGGGTTAACATATCCATTTTAATAGATGAGGGAAATGATACAGAGAGATTTTGGAAGCCAAAACAGTCTGTGAAAGGAAGCTCAGATGTCTATGATCAGATCAGACGCCTAGATTTTGAACTTCTGGGTAAGATTACTTAGTTGGGCCCGTGTTTTCCACTGTTATTTATCACCACCTCATTTTAACAGAAACCTGTGAGCCATCATACAATGCATGCTTTTAGTACATATGGAAATCACCTCTGTTTTTAAAAAGAAAACAGCATGGAGGGAGTAGCAGGGTCAGAACCTTTTCTTAACTCGGAGCTACTGAGTAAATACCCGCTGGTTATCTTTATGTGGTGAATTGCTCTGTGGTTGGAAGAGGTGGTCTCCCTTTGATGGACTTTACAGGGAGAGGTTCAAATGAAGAGACCCTTGAGGTCATGGTCCTACTCTGTGCCCCAGCACCCAACTTCATCCCTGCACAGGGCACAGGGCCACTGAGGATGGTCAGAGGAGAGAGAGAGGACAGAATGTCCAACAAGAGCAGCTCCTGTGGGAACAGGGCAATCCTCTCCTAAAAGAGGGAACCCCCTATTCCGGGGTGACTCCTGCAAGCTCCACTGGGAAGCAAGCCTTAACAATCACAAAATGTAGACATCTAAAGTGCACTTGCCTACTGTAGAGCTTCATGAGATACAGACAAAATTTGAGAGAAATGAGAAGAAGGTTTCAGAACAGGGGAAAGAGTGAAGGATTTGGTTGTTGTTGTTTCTTCCCTTAGTGCTCAAAAAGTCAGGGGAAGACAGAGGTGAATAAAGTGATCACCCGTAGTGTGGATTCTGAGTGAGAGTTTGAAGGAGGGAAGACACAGAAAAAGGAAGCAGGAGAGAGAGGGAGTGGAAAGGTAGACCTACTGGCAGAAGAGGTGGGGCACTGACCGCCTGCCTGCAAGACAGGCATTCCAGTCAGCAGGACCTCACACTCTGCCTGGGGTTTTGGGCCTCCCTGAAGCTGCCGCCATGCGTCTCCAGGGCAATTGCTTAGCAATTCTGCTTGGAAATGTACATGCTGAAATACATTAGAGCTTTACCCTCCGGGCTATTTTCTCACCCTCTGAAGAACTTGAAATTGGAGTGGAATAATAATAATGCTTTAAATTTTTATACAGTTTTACAACTTGAAAAGATACAAATTTTAACATTTGAAAGTGCATGGGTTTCTCATTTTAGTTAATGAGCTGAATCTAATCTGTGACTGCAAATGAGGCTCTCAGAAACTTAATCTAAGGATGTAACTGTGCAAATACTACTGGTAGTCCAGGAAATGCTAACTTTTTTGTAAAATACCTTTAAGCAAATTGGAGCAGGGCATCAAGTTATGAAACCTCACTACCAAGATTCTTCAGAAGAGGCTTTTCTTTTCTTTCTGGTTATTGGACATAATATTTTTCTGTTTTTCTCGAGAGTGAGCCTGTGACAGGATTCTCCATGGAACAATTATAACTTGAATTACATCACAATGGTTTTAAGGAGATGTCATTGTAATGGTCATAATAAGTAATAATACAGATGCCATGTTACTAAGATGGACTTCAAAGAATGACAAGGCATTTCCCCCACCCCGAGGCCTGACACAATTTTGTGCTCACATCCACATCCTTGACAGGCAGGACAGTGCCCACTCAGATCTCTACCATGCACCTTGCTACAGGGCATAACTCTGGTTACCACTATTGGGCAACCTTGCTTACCACTCTATTGTCTCATAATAAATTTTGCTCCAATTATTGAGTTTTAATATGTAGCAAATTGTTTAGTAGCCCCTTTACATTGTCTACTGCTTAGGCTGTGAGTTATAAAATTGTAAGCCCCAAAAAGGTCTCAAATGGGACCTTTCTCATTCAACTGTGAGTTCTGTTATACGGTAAAGTATCACAGAGTGAATGTGTGACAAATATTTATTGAATGAATGAAAAATTATATATATTTATTGGATGAATTAATAAATTACAAATGAAATGAGATATGAATTTAAATTTTGACATTCTTTGGTAGTTTAGGTAAATCTTGGTCTAGCACTTCCACTACAGAAAAGAGTAGTTCTACTCATATATCGGATTATTGGGAAGGTTTAAAAG